TAAAGCATGAATATAGATATACATTTGTGTATGTATATATACATGTGTGTATGTGTGTATATTTATACACATAGTGTGTATGTGTGTGTGTGTGTGTGTGTGTGTGTGTGTGTGTGTGTGTGTGTGTGTTGAGAAGGGGTCTCAACTAGCCTCAATCTCAGTATGTAGCTAAGGATAACATGGCACACTGGATTCTCCTGTTTCCACCTTCCGACTGCTCTATTACAGGAACACTACAGTTTAGAACCTGGGCCTTGTGTGTGCTAGGCAAGTGCTCTAGCAACAGAGCCACATCCCAGTTCTTGAAGTGACTATTATGGTTTGAATCTGAGATGTTACCGGAAGATTCACATGTTGGGGACATAGTTCTCAGCCAATGGGCTGTGGTAAGTGACTGGATCCTGAGGGCTCTGACCTGATCAATGGTTAGTCCTTTAATGGAGTCATAGTGGTGGCATTTTATAGACCCCATGGAAAGTAGGTGTGTGGATCCAGATCTCTGGGGCTGTGTCCAGGTGGATGTCTGTGTCTCCCACACCCTATGTCTCTGCTTCCTGACCACTGGGGTATCCGTCCCACTACACACTTCTACCATGAAGCTCTGGATTACTACAGGCCCAGAAACAATGGCATCAGACCACAAAAGTGTGAAACTTCAGAAACTAAGCCAGAATAAATCTTTCTTCTCTTAAGCTGTTTCTCTCAGGTATGTCTGTCTCAGCAAGGAAAAGCTAATTAACATTTTAGTGGTTGATTAACTAGTTCAACAGAATTGCCATTTGACCCAGCAATTTTATCTACATTCCTATGATAACCAAAATTATATGGACAAAAAAAATCCTATACTCAAACATTCATAGAAACAGCACACATGAGGGTCCCAAAGAGGAACCAGCTCTAGTAGTGATTGCTCATTGGTCTGAGAGAAATACCTGACAAGAAGCAATTTTAATGAAAAAGGGTAGCCTTAGGCTCAGGAATTTAAAAAGTACAAGCCATGTGACAGTGTACACATATCAGCAGATGGCTCCGTGGAGGGAGATATGGACCTGGGAATCCTCATTCTTCATGGTGCAGGAAGCAAAGGGAAGTGGGACCATATATTAAACCCTAAGGCCCATCCATGTGCACTGGCCATGTTCCTCAAGGTTGCATAACCTTCCAATACAGGCCCACAGCTGGGGGTGAGGGCTAAGTCTTCAAACACATGAGCTTATTTCATAATCAAAGGTATATGAACTGATAAATGAATAAGCAAAACATGGTCTTTGCATACAAACGATTATAATTATTCATAAGGAACGAAATGCTGGCTCTTGTTACAACATGGATGAACCTTGGAGACATGCTCAGTGAAAGAGGCCAGGCCAGATAGCTTCCAAGACTGTGATTTAGTCATCTGAAAGGACCAAAAATGTCAAATCCACAGAGACAGAAAGGAGAATAGAGGTTGTCTCTGGGCAGGAATGATGGGATGTGGTACCAATGGGCTTGAAGGGGTTAGCCTCTTACAGGAAGATGAAAACATTCTTAAATCAATTGTGGTAATCATGGTAAAATAAAGTCATTGAATTCTTCACCTTAAATGGAGAACTTATTTTCAACTCACCTCTTAAACCTATGAACTGAAGAGATGATTGTCATATATGGCCAACCTTGAGGGAACATCCAGAGGGTAGATGGGAGCAAGTGGCATGAGCCCAATTGCCTAGGCTCTAGTACCTACAGCCATGAGAGCTTACTCTTAAGTTGTGCTTTTGGCTTTGTTGGTTGGTTTGTTTTCTCTGTGGACTGGGAAGATGTCTCTGCAGGTAAAGGTGTTTGACACCAAGCCTAGAAACCTGAGTTTAATCCCCAGAACCAACATATTAGAAGAAAGGAACTGACTCTTAAAAGTCATCCTCTGACATAAAGATGAGAAGAATGGTACTGATGTTGGGTGTATACACACACACACACACACACACACACACACACACACACACACACAAAATATTAATAATAATAACAATAATGATAAAATCTATAGAGATGGTACAGTAGCTAACAGTATGTACTACTCTTTCAGAGGATCTAGGTTCAGTTCTGAGAATTCTCATGGCAGCTAAAAACCATCTGAAACTCCGGTTCTAGGAAATCCAATGCCCTCTTCAGATTTCTATGGGCTCTAGGCACACATGTAATACATATGTATACATAAAACCAAAACACACATACATCAAAAATAAAAATATGTAAATCGATTAGCTCTATAGCCCATTTCTTAGAGCTTCAGGAGTCCAATCGGCGAGAAAGAGGAGGGACAAATAGCTAAACTAGTAGAAACACATGAACTGTGACCCAACAGCTGAGGAGCCCCCAACTGGATCAGGCCCTCTGGATAAGTGAGACAGTTGATTGGCTTGAACTGTTTGGGAGGCCCCCAGGCAGTGGGACCAGGACCTGTACTTAGTGCATGAGCTGGCTATTTGGAACCTGGGGCCTATGCAGGGAAACTTTGCTCAGCCTGGGAGGAAGGGACTGGACCTGCTGAACTGAATCTACCAGATTGAGCTGAATCCCCAGGGGAGACCCTGCCCTGGAGGAGATGGGAATGGGGGATGGTCTGGGGGGAAGGTCGGGGAGGTGGGAGTAGGGAGGACGGGGGAATCCATGGCTGATATATAAAATTAAATCAATTTATGAATTAAAAAATAAATAAATAAATAAATAATAAGTAAGCTGTTAAAGAATTTTTTAAAAAGGTTGTCAATGTTTTCTCATCAATGAGAGGGAGGATAGTTCTCTCTAACATTTCTACCCTTGTAGGAGAACCACGTTGGACATGGAGAATATTTGCAGGTAGACTGGCTCCACAGTAGAGCTGCTCACTACTGTGACCATCACCATCTTTTTCACTATCATCATTAAGGGACTGCACTACATTCAGGAAGGAAGAAGGCTTGAGCAACTCACCTGGGGAAACTTGTAAAGTCCCAGAAGTCTGGCCATGGAGACAGACAGGGATGACCGCGTGTCCCCAACTAAGGCAGCCTGAGGAGAGCCATGCTGGCATGTGTAGTTGGGGATGGGCTCCTCCTGCCTCGTGAGAAAGCTCATTGTCTCATGGAGGGCTCCATGCACTGAGTCCCCAGAGTTTCGAATAGAGAAGCCCAGGGTCACATTGGGCAACAAGTAAGCACTCCTATTAATCTCCTCAATGGCAAAGACAAAACTCTGGGCCACCCGGTAGCCCCAGTTGGAAACGCTGAGGGAAAGAGAAGGCCACAGTCATCATTCATGATGGGGTAAATGGAACAAGAATAAACACAGTGACTCAAGGGATACATGAAAAACCTACATCTCCACAAATTCTTACACACAGATGTGCAGAGAAACACAGTTTAGAACGCACAAAGGGAACAGAGGGAATGTGGAGACAGTAATCAG